AAGTCCGACTCCAGGTCCTCTCGCAGCGAGAGGCTGGGATCTTCGCGTTGAAGCTAAGCAATAATTAATGCTGTACAGGAAAAGGATGATCAGGAGTAGTAGGAGTAGGAATGATAGCAAGCAACATGAATACAACAAAGGAGCAATATCAAGAAGAGCAACAGTAATCATAACAATAATCATCATGATAGTGGTCGCCGTCGTCGTCGTAATTCTAACTGTCGTTTACCAACAGTAATAATGCAGTGCTGGGGCTCAGTTTCGGGTTTCTGCTTCAGTTTCGGGCTTCCAGGCTGCAGCCGATACCGAAGTGCAAGCGCATATGATGATCTTGATGATTACACTCCTCGCCCTATGATTTTGCATTGGGAAAGGTGCCTCAATGCATACACATATATGGTATGAGCGCAATATCAGCAACAGCCATGCAAAATCATAGGGCCAGAAATGCAATCATCGAGATCATCATACGCCCTTGTCCTGCGGTCTCGGACATTCTTTAAGCTTCCTTGTTATGCTTACAGTGTAAAAAACCACAAACCCCTGCTCGAATTTAAAGCAATTTCCTATAATAGCCAGTGAGACCAGCTGGCTACATGTAGGTACCTGTATATTGGGCTGTGGATTATGCGTGCTATCAGGTTTGTATACGCTTCAAATAAAGCAACCCGGTAAGGGTATCTCTGTTGATGGTAGGCTACATGCCTTGACAGGCCTCAGTCGCAAAAGCACCCTCCGCAAACCCCGCTGCAGGTCGGGCGATTCGCGATCCAGGAGACACAGGCATCGAGAGAAGCAGCGCGACAAGGAGGCGCGGGCATGTCGAGCAAGACAACAAGAACAGCTATCATGTCAGTTGGCAGCCGTGGCGAACATTACATCTACGATGTTCCTCTTATGATGTACAGGTAGCAAAACCGCAATCTTACAGACGAATGCCAAGGTACAAAAACCCCAAGTGGAGCAGGATCTCAGCACGTGTAGTCGCGCAGCAGTTAAGCTGAGGGTAATGAGGGCTTAGCTTTGAGAACCAATTTCTCTAGATTTTGAAAGCAGGATGCATCTCTGGTGTAAAGCCAGTGTTGAAGTGTGAAGATCCGCACTGCACTCTCCATATCGTCTGCACGACGATCACAACTGGGGCTTGTCCTTCCCTCTTGACTCGATTTAACGTAGAACTTGAGCAGCAGTCAGTGTTACAATCTGGATCCAAACGTCAGGCAATTGCAGACAGCGTGTAAATCAAGCAGGATTCTACATTACTTCAATGTCTCCATTCTTTCATTAACTTCGCTGTGCGTTTCATAGACCCGAAAATTCGAGCCTCCACAAGGCCTGTGCCGGATGAACGGAAACCATAGCCCTGAATTACCCTTCGCAACGCCGCTGCCACGTCATGACCCCTTCCCGGAACCATAAACCCTCAAACCCAAAACCCTAAACCCTGAACCCTAAACCCCTAAACCCGAAACCCTAAACCCTAAACCCTGAACCCTAAACCCCTAAACCCTAAACCCTCAACCCCAAAACTGATAGGCCCCAAGTCCCACACTTCCAAGCCCTGATTTCTCGACTTGGGCCTCAGTCGTTGGGTTCCTGGGCCTTTGCCACGGAGCTCGCAGGGTTCAGGATGGTGTACTTAAAGGCTCATGGGACTTAGTAAGTAAGGTTATAAGTAGGTTATAATTAGGATAACCCCACTTAGGGGACTTATAACCCCAGTTATAACCTACTTACTAAGTCCCATGATCCTCTAAGTAGGGTTGAGGTTCTAGGGCTCGGCTTGAGGGTTTTATGCCTTTTGTCCTACACTACTTTGGGGGGGGTTCCTTATGAAAGTTATGGTATAGTGGGCACCAAAACCCGATTCTAATTGTTAAGGCCGCTAGATGAAAGCCCAGCCCAGGGTTTATGAGCGGATGGCTTTTGGGTTCAGTAGGGCTTTGGTTCTTCCGACTCGCGACTCAATGAATCTCAAGGAAAAGAGACATGGGAGTTTCCGAAAATTAGGGGTACTTTATTTTGGGGTCCTTCTAATAAGGATCCTACTATTTAGGGTACTATATTAGGGTCCCCCATTTTCGGAAACCCCCACATAGCTACCGACCCCATCAGCATGTGGCAGCCGAATTTCAGCCGCCCAAATCCCGGACTCTAAGACCCAAAGCTTCATGCCTGGAGTTGCAGACTCTTATCGCTTTGAAGGTTCGCTAGCACTCTTTGGCAGCATCTTCTCTGGAAAGCAAGTAGTCTGTCGGAAAGCACAGGTGGTGTCCGGGTGTATAACATGCTGTAGCTGCACATATGGGTCTTGACATAGCAACAATGTGTGTCGTATTTAAAAGTGCTGTCATAGCAGTACATAGGCAGGCAGCAGCACGGTAGGAGAAAAAGGCAAAACAAGAGAACAGCTCACAGTCTAGAGCCGCCACGCTCATGGCGGCATTTTCGCTGGGTGGCGTTGCGGCGTTCATGGGCCAGCATATGTGCCGTGGCGGGTAATCGGTGGTGTATTGTCTGTGAAACAAGACGGGGTTCAGGATTTCTGAGGGAGTTAAGGCTGTTTAACTGCAGTTTCATGAACCGAAACACCCTAAACCCCTAAGGCCCTAAATGCTAAACCCGAAACCCAAACCCCCCAAACCGCAACATTGAAGCTTCAACCCCAAACTCACATCCCAACCCCGACCCTTCTCGGAGTCGCAGAGTCTTGGGGATCTTGAGCCTTAACCCGAGACCCCCAAACCGCTAAACCCTCGCCGGGCACCGTGACCCCGAAATCCTCCAACTCGGGCCCGTCGGATGTTTGGGGTTCTAGTGGTTAGAGTTTCAGCCTAAGCTAGGGCTTGATGCTTGTGCGGTTGTAGGGTTTCGGATTTTTGGTGTAGCGCCTTTGATGATGAGACGGTGTTCTGGAAGGGTCACCATAAGGGTTTGGAAAAAGGAGAAGCAGAATAGATTTACAGGGTACAGTATACTGATGCCTAAGGCCCCCTGCTACTTAGAGGATCATGGGACTTAGTAAGTAGGTTTAATTGGGGTGAAAAGTCCCCTCAGTGGGGTTATCCTAATTATAACCTACTTATAACCTTGCTTACTAAGTCCCATGAGCGTTTAAGTAGGGTTTGTTCAGGTCCTGCCAGGATTCCTTTTAAGATCCATGGCGAAGCTGCCCGCCCTGGATTCTGACACCCACAGACATAATACCCCAAAACCCCACTCTAGGGGCCTCAATCCTTAGAACAGGGTTTTTTGGGGAGTTTTCTACACCATAAATAGAACAAGGAACCTCCAAAACCCTATTCTAATTCTTAAGGCCCCGACAAACCACAACCGCCTAACCTGAAAACATGAAAGCCCCTCAACGTCCAACCCTCGGCTCGACCTTGGGTTGACAACTTTCAATTTAGTCGTAGCTATGACACGAGTCATGGTAGGGTGTTCAAAGCGATCCCATTTTCCCTCTTCAGGGTTTAGGGTTTATGTAGGACCCAAATCCCAGCTTTTCGAAACATCTGCAATCCCTTGCAACTCCTAAGAGTTCCAAGCCCTCGAACCCTGGCAGGCAATTGGAGCCCTTGGAAGCCTTGAAAGGGCTCTTTTTGAAGCTCTAAAGTACCCAAACCCTAAACCCGTAAACCCAAACCCCATAAATCCCAAACCCTTAAACCCTAAACCCCCATACCGCTGAACCCCTAAACCCCAAACCGTTGAGGTACCTAACGGCCATCTCGCTCTGCTTCCTGATCGGCTTATCCCTGGGACTTCTAGGGAGCGGCGGCTCCATCCTGACCTTGCCGATTCTGGTGGGCTGCATTTCGGGTTTAGGGTTTAGGGGTTTAGAGAGTTTAGGGTTTAGGGTTCAGGAGTTTCAATATCCCTTAAACATGGAACATACCTTAAATTATAGTAGGGTCGCTCATATGATTGAAGGAATGTACCGTTTTGGGGATCGGGTCTTGAGAGAAGTTTGCGGACAAAGGTCCCGGGCTGCGGGTTGAGAGAAGTTTGGGGATTAGGGCCTACTTTAAGGATCATGGGACTTAGTAACTAGGGTTATAAGTAAGGTAACTATACTTATAACTACTCATAACCCCAAATTAAGGAACTTAGAACCTGACTTACGAGGTCCCGTGATCCTCCAAGTCGAACTCAGAGAAGTCTCGGGATTAGGCTTCAGGGTTCAAGGTGCAGGAAACAGAAACCCCGTTTTGGTGTTTGAGGCATAGGAGTTGAGATTGGGTTAGGGAATTGGAGATTGTGTTCTTGACTCGAGGTCTAGTTAATAATTACCGATGCTATTTTGATGGTTCCTTCTCATAATTATAGCATATTGGGCCCCAAAACCCTATTAAAATTACTAACGCCCCTGTAGCAAGGCTTCTTAAACCCAACATTGCATCTGCTTCAGAGGGTATCTTCAGGGCGACAGGTACTTCTCCTCGCAGTAAGAGGGGTCATTTCGGAGAGGCCTCGTAAAACCTGTCTCAGGCCCTTCTGAGCCCAGGTTTATAGAACCGTGCAGAGGCCGTAGAATCCTCAGCACCACTGGTAAGACCTACGGCTGATGACCAAAATCCTGCATGACCTTAAGGACCCCTAAACTATGGGAATTATGGTATATTCCTTATTATGGGTAATGCAGGATTTATATCATCAACAGTACGAGCCAGAAGTCCGGAAGCAAGAAAGATCAGGGAAGTGAAGCCACGAATGCGATAGAGCGACGGAAAGTCTGGTCTTTTATCTGTGGCCCGTGAACGCGTCGACTAGGCCAAAGCAAAGACAAACCTCGGAACTCCTACACCCTGAACGAAAAACCAAAGCGGCACGCCAAAAACAGAAAGAAGGTGCATAGGTTCTTGGAGCATCAACGACAGCTGAAAAGATGATTTAGTTGTATAGAACTCGCACAAGCCCTAAACACCTAGAGGCCACCCGAAGGAACCGGAAGCCGAAAGGTGTACTTGCTGAATGTGGAGGCGAAAGAGGCCATCGCCATGTCCCTCGTGGTCGTTGGCATTACCAGCTTCCGGCATGCACATTCTGGGGTCGGGCTCAGGGCTTTACAGCTTTAGGGCTTTAACTACTATTTGCTTAAGAACCCCCAAAAAATACAAAATATATTCCTTATAGGGATAATATAGGGATTATGATTTTTTATTTTGGGGGGGTTCTTAAGCAAATAGTAGTTAGTTAAGGTTTGAGGCATAGGGCTTTGGGTGTTGGGGTTCCGGGCTTTTAGGGTTTAGGGTCCCGATAGCTTCGCCCCCAAACCTAAACGTCAAAGCCCAGGCCGTGCACCTTTTCGCCTAGCTGCCGAAACCGCAGAACCCAACATCTAAAGCCACAAAACCCTTAACTGCCGAAACCCCTAAACCCTAAACCCCTAAACCCTAAACCCCTAAACCCTAAACCCTAATCCGTAATCCCAGAAAGCTTAGCCTTACACCCAACAGCCCCAGATCTGGAGGGCTCCAAGAGCCTTCCAAGCATTTCACGAGATTTCACTCCACAAGCAGGGTTTAGGGTTTAGGATTTTAGGATTTTAGGGTTTAGGGTTTAGGGTTTAGGATTTTAGGGTTTAGGGTTTAGGATTCTAGGGTTTAGGGTTTCGGGCAGGGTTTTGGGGTTCGCATTGTGGGGTTCAGGGTCCTTGAGGCTCCTTTGCGGTGATTGCCCATGCCTGGGCTGGCAACGTCGACTGGAAGGTGGGTGGCTAGGATGCCCAGAAGTACCCTTTTTCCCTTTTTGTAGTCCTAGGTTCCTGATAAAGTTACCCAATACCAAAAAGGGAGGCCTTTTTATTCTTAGGTTACTGGGTATCCTAGGTGGCATCTTCGGCATCGCCGGGATGGCCGGGGCGTATGTGGGAGGGATCCTGGCCGGGTTTGTGCCCGAGCATGTCTTGCTCTGCCTCTTCGCAATTTGGCGAGCTTGGAAGTAAATCCGGGCTATTTGAGTTTGCATCGTTGAAACTTGAACAGTAATTTTGCATCGTAAGTTTATAAGTCCTGAACCCTGAACTCGAAGCCTAGTTGTTTGGGATTTTCTGCCAAGGCGCTCATGACCCTGGCAACGGCGATAGCAATGCTTTACAAGGACAGCAGAAGTCCTCCGTCTGCATATCAGCCCATCGCAAACGACTCTAACGAGGAAGCGCAGCTAAGCAAAGGCGAGAAGGATTCGGACAACTCGGATGCCGAGAATTTCGTCAAGTTGGAAGACTTGCCTTTGTGGCACATCGTCGTGGAAGGTCCGCCCTCAGCCCCAAAAACTTTTCCCTTCAAGCCCCTAATCATACCGAAAAGCCTTGTACTCCAAAAGCACTCCAAAACCCAAAACGCCGTAAACACCTTCCTAGAAGCCTTACGAGCCCTAAAGGTTTTGTGGTGGGCCTCGTCACGGGGATGGTTGGTGCCGGTGGTGGCTTCCTGGTAGTGCCTGCCTTGACCCTCATGGCCGGTCTACCCATGCTGCTTGGTGAGTTTAGGACTTCGTATTCGGGGGATAGGGTTTAAGATTCAGGGTTTAGCGCTTGGGAAATGTTTGGGGAGCCTAAGGGCAACAAGAGGTTTAATAAAGTGGCTTTAAGCCTTGTTACCCTTGAGGGCCGACGGGACATATGAGGCCAACGTAAGACCCCAATAAAGATAACAGGGTTACTTGTATTTGTCGCTAGCGGAGCACTCAGGTCATCTGCGATTGGCACATCCCTGATGGTAATCGCGATGAAGCTCGGCTGCTTTCAGCGCAGCTTATTGGAGCAAGTTTCGGTGGCTTTGCGTTTAAGATGTAGCGTTTAAGACGTAGGTTGCTCATGTGCTGGCACTGCGTCGTACGGAGAGGGCAGATTCGGCGCAAATTGACGGTCGTGTTTACAGATTCGTGCAGACGCCTGACGAGCATCCTCCCTTAACCCTAAGAAGGATGATCAAAGGGTCCTAACGTAACGGTTGACTTTCGAGGTGCGAAAGACTAAGGAAGTGCCTTGCTGGCTACATTGGCCATGCCAGTCATGTGGCTATCGATGTGAAACTGACTTTGATCGTCTCTGCGAGCGCCGTTCTCGGAAGCTTCCTGGGAGGCTATCTGACTGAGTTCCTGGCGCCAAGCGTGCTGCGTAAGTCCTTTGCGATTTTCGTGCTGACTATCGGCTGCCTGCAGCTGTGGAAGGAATCCAGTAGCCTGGTCCACTAACCCGGCCCTCCGAAACCTAACCGTCCCAATCCTAAATCCCAAAAACTCTGATCCTCAGACGCCTCTCCGTGCAAATGTGGCCGGAAGGCCACCCGGATGTGGTCAGGCTGCTCCTTGAGGGCCACGAAGACGTGGTCAGGGAGTTTGGCAAACATGGCCAGAGATCAGCACGACCTGAACGGCCGTGAAGATGCCAAATATGCTTGGAGGTACTCGAGGACTGTCGATGGCCTAAAGGTTGGGGTTTCGGGTTTAGGGTTTTATATAAGTGTTGCTGCAGGCGGGCACACTTACATTCAAAGATAGTGTTCTTGCTCGGATTATGAAGTCTTTTGGCGGCTGAGTAAGGCTTAGTAATGATGATGGTCATGGTTATGGTCATGGAGCTTGTGCTGGTGGGTGTTGGTGGTGGTGCTGGCGGCGGTGGCAGCAGTGGTGGTGGTGATGATGATAGTGAGGTTGATGGTGATGGTGGTGATGATGATGATAATGATGATGTTGATGATGTTGATGATGATGATGACGATGATGCCAATGCCGCTGCCGATGCAGCACTGGTGTTGTTGCTGTTGCTGTTGCTGATGGCGGTGATCGGCATTGGCAACTGTTGCAACAAGTCCTCGGGGGCCTGGCCCGTAGTGACTGCCTTGTGCGCGGTGCCAAGCATCTTGCGCACAAGGCCTCGCACTTGAAGCTCTTGCTCCATAGTGGCTTGGCCATGCGTTCCGAAAAAAACAGGTTTTGCAACAGCGGGCTGTAGATCTCCGACCCCAGATAGATAACCATAGATCTACGACAGCGTGAAGGAATCTAAGCTACTGTCGGGCTCAACCAAGTAGATTCTTAGGTGACTGCGTGGGCGCCTGACGCAGGAAGAGTAGCAGTCCTGAGCCAAGGGGTAGGTAAAGAAGCCTTTACCGAACCCTTCGAAAGCCCTTATGGAACTCTTACAGGTTTGTTCCGTAATCAACGGGGTAGATGCCAGCACCCGCAGGTTTCAATCCCACGACCACCCGCCCCAAGCCTGTCTAACTAGGGCTTTACAGTGGGCGATAAATTTTTCAAGGTTGTAATAAGAGCTTTGGTTGACCCCTCCAGAGGGTTTAGGAAAAGGTCCAGGTTTCGTTGCGCTTTACAAGGATCAGGGGATTTGGTAAGTGGGCTACAAGTACCTTAGCTGTGGTCATATACAAGTACTTACAACTGATTCTGCATTACTTGCAAGCCAATTACTTACTAAATCCCCTGATCCCTTAAGCTGGCCTCATACACCACCTGAACCCACTAACCACAAAACCTAAACCTCAAAGTTCGAAGCCTGAAGCCAAAACTTGAAGCCTAAACCAGATTCTCGAGTTTCAGGTTTGAGGTATTGGGGCTGCTTGAAACAGCAAGACCAAGAGCTATCAACAGCAATAAGCATGGTGATAAAGTCTAAGTTAGACCCAAAGACCTTGGAGAAGAGCCCAAATGACATTGAAGCTCTGGCAGGCTGCCAGCACGGGCCCAAGACAACAGCGAAACTGGTGGTGTCGGGTCTCGGGTGTTGCTGGGGGTTCCAGGGTTTTGAAAGAATGGCTGCAGGAGTTTCGGTGTTCGGGGCTGGGGGGGGTGGGGAGGGTTTAAAGAATCGGGTTCAAGGTCTAGAGATCTTTAAAGCAGACCAAAGCCTTGCAGGTTTCGCAGCCTTCCAGACTGTGCACTTGCGGTGGTTTTGAAAGTGCGAGACCGAGACTGCAGTAGTGGTAACAGGCCCTGAAATCATCGCTGTAACACAAACTACAAATGACACAAGCTATAAAGAAATCACGCAACAAAGCTCTATAAAGATCAAAACCTCTCAGTAATACCCTCTTGCCCTTTTTCTTTTGGGGTTTCCTTATTGTCGGAGAAAAAGAAGCTAGCCTTGTTTTTAAAGGAGACACTGAGGAACCTAGAAACTCAAAGCCCCTGATCTCTTTCCATGAGGCTGGCCGGGTCCTTTCATGCCACCGGCAGGTGGAGAGTTTCTCTGGTTTCGGGTTTAGGGTTCTTGTGATTTCGGGTTTCAGGATGTTGGGTTATTCAGGGCTTCATGAGGCAGCCTATACGGGCTTGTCTAGGGATCTGAATATTCAACATCCTTGCCTCACCGCATCCTGTTAAAACCTGAAGCGCGGTACGGCATGAGGTCTCAACTGGATCAAAAAGCAGGTTCTGTCCAAGAAACTCCTGAATCACACTGTGAACCCTAACCTATAATGGTTTCCAGACCCGTCCGGCGGCGGAAGCTCCCCGACGAAATATGTTCATGGATGCGTGAGGTGCAGACCAGAAGTATCGTTTATTTGCAACAGGACATTTCCAGGAAGCACAACCACTGTAACATGTGCCGATACCTTGCATCGTGGGGTTGGATGACCTGTGATGAGACATGAATATGGCTTGCGGAGCAGAGCAGTCCACGGAGCATATGACGAATACAACGATTGGGTCAGCAACTCGCGAAATCGACACGGCATCCTGCGTCGAGTATGACTTGTATGTTGGGCATCACGCTCACATTGTATTGCTTCGACTGGGTCAGCTTGGGCAGAACATCATGGCATGAACAGAAGCTCGAGCCACAACTCAAGGCGTCCAAGAATCTTCTTCGGGATTCTGTGGCGTTCGCGTGAAAGCATTGCTGGCGTCGAAGTCCCTGAAAGCGCACTCCTCATGAAGCTATATCCAGACACTTGAGCCAATTTTAAGAAATTCCATACGCCCTACCACCCGAGTTTGGGCTAGAACCCTGAAAACCAAGCGTTTCGACGCCTCCATCGAATCTGGGAGGCATGCCTCCTATGATGCCTCCTCCCTGGGATCGATCCTAAGAATGCGGAGGTTTGGGAATTTCGGGGGTGTGGGCTTTCGCGTGCAACACAGGGCTTAGGGCTGCTTCTGGCTACTTCGCCCTGCACCCCTGTATCCTAGAACCCTTGCAGTAGCCCTTATCGAGCCCTTTAAAACCCCATTTGTCCGTATGAAGATGTGCAGTGTTGCTTGCCCAATGCAGCATCAGGATAGCGATCCCCATCTGACAGGCCTCCGCCTCTTCCGCCCGGCCCCCCACCCCCTTGCTTGAACTTCAAGCGCAACTCTGAGAGTTGAGGGTACGGGATATACTATAGAAGCATGAATAGGTAACACTAATATAGGAGCCCTCATATATAATTACCTATACGATTTTAGGGGTTTCCTTCTTATAAAATGCAGTATATCCCTTAGGGTTTTTACGAGGAGCTTTGGGGTTTCAGGGGTGCGGGTCCTAGGGCTGTTCCACCGAACCCGTGGCCCTGAGGTCCTCGCCGCATCGTGGTTTTTGGGGGCCGGTTCTACGCGAAGGAAAGGCCTAAAACCTAAACCCCCTCAACCCCCTAAACCCTAAACCCTAAACCTCCTGAAACTGAAACCCTAAATATCGAGCTCTAGACTTAGACCTTGAATATTTCAGCCCGGCCCTCGAATCCTGAAACGAGCATCCTAAGCCCTGCAGCCCGGCGGCTTCTTAAATCTCATAGCTCATTGGCATTCGTGGCATAAAGTCGGGGTTGAATTCTTGGTTTCTAGTAATACCCACTTTGGTCCTTAACAACTCTGTCCCAAAACCTTAATCCCTGAACCTTAAAATCCACCTGGGCTCATACATTAAGATTGAGCAGTCGGGCTGGGCGCAAAAACTACTCATGGATTCCAAGCCTTTTCATTACTGAGGCGTCCAGGTCTGCCTTGCTTGCACGAATACGCCCTGGAATTCGTGTCCGCAATCTGGGCTGATTTGTGCGACCACGGGCCGAGAGCGCAAGGATAGGACAGCTAGGAAGATAGCCGAGAGGCAAGAAACGGAGCAGGTACCATTTGAACTCAGACGTTTCTTCCCTAAGCCCCTAAACCCCTAACCCTAACCCTCAAGACCCCAAGCGGCTCATCCAGCAAATGATTTGAGCCTGTTTCAAGGAGCTCTTGGCTCTCCAAGCATTGTGTGCCTCAACCCTTAAACCGTAAGCCCTTGAAACGGGATCCTACGGAAACGGGGGCCTTGGTTGATTCTGCTTCAGTCCCGTTAGGAACGAAACCTTCAGACCGAAACATCCTAAAGATTTGAAACCTCACACCGTAGAGCCCTAAGCCCTGCAACTATAAAGCACTAGCCCCCAAAAAACCAACAGTTATACTAGCAGTAATGATAGTGATACTAACAATGGCAATAACAAAAGCAACAATGTTGATAATAGTCCGAAAAAGAACAACTCCAGTAGTAATGATTTTTATCATTGTCGTGATAAAAGCCTTAAACCCCTAAACCCGAAACCCGAACCTGCAAATAATCAGGATAAGAATAACTACTGTAATAATGGGCAATAGTGGCATTTTTATCATTGTCATGATAAATTTTTTAAATATATATATATATATATATATATATATATGATTGTAATATAATATATATATATATATATATATATAGATACAAAATAATATGAGCCCAGGCCATGGCTCCCTGGGGCCCCATGCCGCCGATCTGCCTCGACCGCAACGGTTTTCCGAGCTACGATGCCGAGGCCTTGAGCATCGCGAGGTCCTTTTGACAAACGTCGTTTGGAACCCTAAACCCCTAAACCCCAAGCCCTAAACCCTATGGGCTTAGGGTTTCATCTGAATCTGCCTTGAGTAGGGTTCTCGGTGGGTTTGCAGGGTTGCACAAAAGTTTACGGAGCTTTAAATGTCGACGGCTGAATGATTTGACTGGGTTTTGGGTGATATCATATAAGGACTGTAGGGGAATACCAGCTGTGATTATTCCCCCCTAACTTAAACTCTCAGCCTTTCTGCTCTAACCTTGGGCTCCAAGCCCTTCATCAACCTCAAACTCTCAAATGTTAGACGTTGAAGCCCAGGACAGGGTTCTGGGGATTTTGAATATGAGCAATTATATCATCTTACGGCTCTTGCATCGCTATACTACAATTTCAAAGCCTTGTATGTATGAAGGCCCCATGCAAGGGTCATGGAGTTTGGGTTGGGGCGGCTGAAAACCTCAAGCCTCCGTATCTTACTTCTTGCGGCCTATACACTAAACATTACTCCCTCAAGCGCTGAACCTTGTAGGCTCTCGAATTGAACTTCGCCTCGCCGCTTCCCACGGCTGATGCTAGTGATTCTGCCCGCAACTGATACTGCCCACAACTAATGCTGGTGATGCCGGCTCCTCGCCAGCCCACAGCTGATGCTCATGATGCTGGCCCTTCGCCGGTTCCCACCGCTGATGCTGGTGATGCTGGCTCCTCGCCTCTGAGTTTTGGCGGCATGCGAACGCAGCCCACAGCTGATGCTCATGATGCTGGCCCTGGCTGCTGGCTGCTCGCTTCTGAATTTTGGCGGCACGCGAACGCAGCCCACAGCTGATGCTCATGATGCTGGCTCCTCGCCTCTGGGTGTTGGCGGCATGCGAACACAGCCCACAGCTGATGCTCATGATGCTGGCCCTTCGCCGGTTCCCACGGCTGATGCTGGTGATGCTGGCTCCTCGCCTCTGAATGCAGCGCTTCGCCGGTTCCCACGGCTGATGCTGGTGATGCTGGCTCCTCGCCTCTGAATTTTGGCGGCATGCGAACGCAGCCCACAGCTGATGCTCATGATGCTGGCCCTCGCCGGTTCCCACGTCTGATGCTGGTGATGCTGGCTGCTGGCTGCTCGCCTCTGAGTGTTGGCGGCATGCGAACACAGCACACAGCTGATGCTCTTGATGCTGGCCCTTCGCCGGTTCCCACGGCTGATGCTACTGTGGCGGCATGCGAACACTGCCCACAGCTGATGCTCGTAGTGCTGGCCCTTCGCGCTAGTGATTCTGCCCGCAACTGATGCTAGTGATGCTGGCTCCACAACCCACAGCTGATGCTCATGATGCTGGCCCTTCGCCGGTTCCCACTGCTGGCTCCTCGCCTCTGAATTTTGGCGGCATGCGAACACAGCCCACAGGTGATGCTCATGATGCTGGCCCTTCGCCGGTTCCCACGGCTGATGCTGGTGATGCTCCTCGCCTTTCAGTTTTGGCGGCAGCCGACAGCTGATGCTCATGATGCTGGCCCTTCGCCGGTTCCCACGGCTGATGCTGGTGATGCTGGCTCCTCGCCTCTGAGTTTTGGCGGCATGCGAGCTGATGCCCATGATGCTGGCCTTTCGCCGGTTCCCACAGCTGATGCTGGTGATGCTGGCTCCTCGCCTCTGAGTTTTGGCGGCATGAACACAGCCCACAGCTGATGCTCATGATGCTGGCCCTTCGCCGGTTCCCACGGCTGATGCTGGTGATGCTGGCTCCTTGCCTCTGAATTTTGGCGGCATGCGAACGCAGCCCACAGCTGATGCTCATGATGCTGGCCCTTCGCCGGTTCCCACGGCTGATGCTGGCGATGCTGGCTCCTTGCCTCTGAATTTTGGCGGCATGCGAACACAGCCCACAGCTGATGCTCATGATGCTGGCCCTCGCCGGTTCCCACGGCTGATGCTGGTGATGCTGGCTCCTCGCCTCTGAATTTTGGCGGCATGCGACCACAGCCCACAGCTGATGCTCATGATGCTGGCCCTTCGCCGCTTCCCACGGCTGATGCTGCATGCGAACACAGCCCAGAGCTGATGCTCATGATGCTGGCCTTTCGACGGTTCCCACGGCTAATGCTGGTGATGCTGGCTCCTCGCCTCTCTATTTTGCCGGCGTGCGAAATGTTCATGATGCTGGCCCTTCGCCGCTTCCCACGGCTGATGCTGGTGATGCTGGCTCCTCGCCTTTGAATTTGTCGGCATGCTAACACAGCCCACAGCTGATGCTCGTGATGCTGGCCCTTCACCGGTTCCCACGGCTGATGCTGGTGATGCTGGCTCCTCGCGTCTTATTTACGGCAACATGCGAACACAGCCCACAGCTGATGCTCATGATGCTGGCCCTTTTGGTGGCTCCTCGCCTCTGAGTTTTGGCGGCATGCGAACACAGCCCACAGCTGATGCTCATGATGCTGGCCCTTCGCCGCTTCCCGCAGCTGATGCTGGCGATGCTGGCTCCTCGCCTCTGATTTTTGGCGGCATGCGAACACAGCCCACAGCTGATGCTCATGATGCTGGCCCTTTCCACGGCTGATGCTGGCGATGCTGGCTCCTCGCCTCTGATTTTTGGCGGCATGCGAACACAGCCCACAGCTGATGCTCATGATGCTGGCCCTTCGCCGCTTCCCACGGCGGACGTTAGTCATTCTGCCCGCAACTGATGCTGGTGATGCTGACTCCTCGCCTCTGAACTTTGGCGGCATGCGAACACGGCCCACAGCTGATGCTCATGATGCTGGCCCTTTGCCGCTTCCCACGGCTGACGTTAGTGATTCTGCCCGCAGCTGATGCTGGTGATGCTGGCTCCTCGCCTCTGAATTTTGGCGGCATGCGAACACAGCCCACAGTTGATGCTCATGATGCTGGTTTTTCGCCGGTTCCAAGGATTTCCTCCTGAGTTCTGCAGTTGTGTAGCCAACAGGCAGGAGGTTCGACAGAAACGTGTTCCGAACCACGTCCTGTTAGAATTCAATCGCCCATACCGCGCCTAGCTGAGGGCTCATCCTACTTGCTACATCCCCTGCTCCTCTAAGTACGCCCTCAACACCCCTTTAACTCCTTCTTTGAAGTCCTCAAACGCTCCTTCTGCGAAAGCATCGTCTCGGAAACTAAGTTCAAACCAACAGCCAAAAATACATCTTACATCTGCACGGCCTCTTGAAGTGCTACAGACCCACTTAGAGAATGTAAACAGCTAGACAATAGAGGGTACCTCTACCACTTCCTAGGACTTCTGATTACGAGGACTTACGATACTGTAAACCTAAACCACAACCCTAGGACTGCGGATTACGATTACTTACCATGCCCTAAACCCTAACTGCTACAGACCCACGCAAAGAACGTAATAAAGATGGAGAATATGTGGGGCCAGAATTTATTAGTGCTACTACTTCCTAGGACTCCTGATTAGGATTGCTTACGATACCCTAATACCTGAACCTGAACTAGTACAGACCCACTCAAACGATCCGAAAAACTGGATAGTTACTATGCCCTAGTGCCCTTGGACTCCGGATTACGATTATGTACACCCTAAACCTTTAACCCTGAGCCCTAAACCCTACCTGGTACAGATCCACTCGAAGAATCGAAAGCCACAAGGGCCTGCACCGCAAGGAAGCCGAGAGGCAGCTAAGAAGAGCCGAGAAGGCCGCCAAGAAGGAGGAGCAGAGGAGGTGCTTCCCTGCCCTTGTTTTGAGGCTTGGGGGTTTAGGGTTTAGGCTTTGGGGGTTTAGGGTGGAGGCCTTTGGGCTTTGGGTGTTAGGCTTTTTTAGCTTCAGGGTTTTGGGTTCAGAGTTCAGGCCTTTGGGCTTTGGGTTGTATGGTTTTTGGTTTCAGGGGTTTTAGGGGTTTTAGGCTCTTTGGCTTAAGTTCTTTGTGTTCTAGGCTTTAGCAGCTGCCCCCATCCTGTAATGATGGCGATAAGGATTATATTAGGGCCCTATTATATTCCCATTATACCACTATTCCAGGGTGGGTGCCCCTTCTAATCTAGGCTTTTGAGATTTTGCGTTTAGGGTTTTGAGAAGTCCCAAGCTCTTCGGCTACAGGCTTGGGGCTTTGGGCTTTTGGGCTTTGGGTTTATATGGGGCTTTCTTTTATTTCATAGTGTTCTAAGGCTTGTTGGGGTTTGGAATTTTCTGATGGGTTTTTGTCATGTCTAGATGTTCTTGCAAGAGGATGGGCGTCGCTATGCGTGTTTAAGCCCTACGTTTCTAAGGTTTTTGGAAGTAAGAGAAGAAGGAGCACCGAGGTTTTTGCAGTCTCAAAACAGGTTGTAGAGGGCTTTTATTGTTTGTGGGGTAGCTAGGAGTTTCTACGGCGTCTTGAAGTTTCCAGGGTTTGTACGGTTCTTAAAAATCTTTGCCGATGCAACCGTTAATGTTTGGGCATTTTGGGTTTAGGATATACCATAGTATGGCCGTAGATGATGCAACAGGCTTCGGATCGCCAAGACACCCAATGCTTTGGTTAAATCGCAAGCCATAAGCCCGAAGCAAAAAATGCAAGCAGCAACCCTTACAGCAGCGGTACATGGAGCCCCAAGCCCTAAAGCCGAAACCCCTAAACCCTGAACCCCTAAGCCCCTAAACCCTAAACCCTATTGATCCTTAAAGAGCCTAAACCCGAAGCTCCTTAATGCTTGATCAGGCGTAAGGAGGAAGATGAAAGAGAGAAGCAGAAGGCCCAAGCCGAGCTTCTTTTGGGGAGAAGACTGGGTTTAGTTTGGGCTGGGGTCCTTTAAATAAGAGGTTTAGGGTTTAACGGTTTAGGGTTTAGGATACTTACCAATACTATTCCATAGAGTCATTTAAATAAGGGGTTTAGGGTTTGGGGCGCAGCTTCGCTCTCGAAAGTGTCGCACGCGGCTTCTGACTCGAGATTGGGGTTTGGGGGTTCTGAGGACGAGGGCTTTCCTGGGCATAAGGCTAAGGATTGACAGGGTTTGTTTTCTGTATCCCCAAATACCAGGGATCCATGACAGGTGCCGTAGTATTAGAACTGTGGGTTTGAAACCCTAAACCGTCCTGCCTCGAACACGTAAGCAGACGGAGAAGAGCCCACAAAACAGAAACAAAAAAAGTCGTCCTGCCTTATTGGGCTTCTCGGAGTTGGAATAGGCAGTCCGGGGGTTGTCTCGGCCCAGACACTCCGGAACCCATGCATGAAGGAATATAACTTACACATTACACCCCACAAAGAACCTGATTAAGATTGACAGTGTATGTATGCTTTATACGGGCCCTACAAGCCCCCTACAAGATAAGACCCTGTAATTTCAGGTATCACTTCTTGATGAAGAGGTTTCGTCATATTTGGGAGTTAGGTTTAACGCCCTAAACCCTCAACCCTAAACCCTAAAACACTTCCGAACTCGAAGCTAGGCCCAGCCTAGGCCTAAATCAAGGAGCCAAGTCTGAGATTGCGGCATCTTAGGGTGGACGGATCTCCGAAAAACCTAAACCCTTCACTCTAACCCCTAAACCCTGAATTCCTAAACCCTACCCCTAAACCCTTGAACCGCTGATCGGATGCCAGGATGCCTTATCCCCAGGCCCCGGAGATGCCAATACATCATCTTGCATGGGGATCCCTTTATAATTCGAGGTACATTCAACGGCATGGTAGATTCCTTACAAAAGCTTATAGAACCCTTCATTCATGCACTCTCATGTAAGGTACATTGCGCAATTCCGGTGGTGTTGATCTATTTTCTTTTTTACTAAGTAGACATGAGAAATGAGAAATTAAGATAACTCTAAACCCTAAACTGCTGAAAGGTCTGGGAGGACCATCCTGCTCGTATGGCGCAGAAGCCGGTCTCCCGAGTTCCGGAGTCGAGATTCCCAGAGACTCGATCTATAGGGGTTCAATCAAGGGTTTAGGGTTTGGGAGTTTCCGAAGGTAGGGGACCCTAGCTTAAAGTACCCTAAATGGTAACATCCTTATTATAAGGACCCCGAAAAAGGTACCCCATTTTCGGAAACTCCCATATGGGAGCTTGAGGGTTTCAGGGTTTAGGGAGCCTTAATTAATAAATTGGTAATGTTCTTCCTTGCTGTTCCTTAATCAATGTTATTATGGCCGAAGGTGCCCCTAAACCTTATTCTCAATGTGTAAGGCCTCGGCATTGCCCTTATCACCCTTATCCTTTAAGGGCTCCTTGAAGGGGTGTTGTTGCTACTAGGTTTTATCAGGTTTTGACAGGGTACAGGAGTCTCAAGTCTCTGAAGCAATGCTCATTTGCCCCTCAATGGTGGGCTACATAGATTTCTTCGGGTTTCGCGGTGCTTCGTAGTCTCGAGTCATGAAGGTAGCAGATTTATATCATCAACCGTAGTCTGATTCTTCAGCTTCCACGGTGCTGGGGTTTGCGCCTACGCCGCCCCAGTGGAGGGCACCTTTTGCTGGGATTTCTGCACTCTGAGCCCTAAACCTCAAGGGTTTAGGAGTTAGGGTTCCATCTTCAAAAGCCCCAGACCTCCTGAACCCAACAGCTCCCCCCACCCCGTGAGCAATACGCATCTAAAACCTAAACCACTGGCCTTCATAATTAGAATAGGATTTTGAGGCCATCATACTATGCTTAAAATATGGAACCCCCGAAAGAGTATCGGTCGCTACGCCCTACACCCGCAACGTGTGGCATGTTCTGCCAACTTGACACCAGAGACGCCGTCCCGTTGTCGGCTTCTGGGGCCGCTTTAATATACGCTGGACCGGATGCTGGACCTCGATACGGGATACTTAAAGGCTCATGGGACTTAGTAAGTAAGGTTATAAGTAGGTTATAATTAGGATAACCCCACTTAGGGGACTTATAACCCCAATTATAACCTACTTACTAAGTCCCATGATCCTCTAAGTAGGTGTGGATGGGCTGTCACCTGACATCTTCTTATTCGAGGGCACATCTCCAGAACAGGTGAGTGCGTGTAAGCTACTCGCCTCGCCTGGGCCTTTCGAGGCCACCGTGATATCTTGTTCTCCTATGACCAGCCGAATACTGCGACGCTTGTTGCCAACGCGAACATACGCTGGTATGAAGCCATACCAGAAGTTTTGTACCCGCGCTACTGCTCAGGCATCGCTATAGACGTCACGCCTCTCGGGTCGAGTCTTCAACAGGCAGTCGATTTGGGATACAAGCAACTTGAAACCGGTGGCGCGCAGAAGGTTGATGCTACGTTGTCCACTCGTGAAGCCAGGCGTAACGCTGCGCGGCACTACAATCCAAAAACTCCACTGGAGCCGTACGTGAGGAAAAACAGAACCCGTAGAGAAACCTTACAGATCCCTTGTCGGACCGTTAACGACATCTTAGAGAACCATTCATCGTGAAAGGATCTTCATAGAATCCTAATGTTTTCGTTACAGGGCCCTTCACGGGAGGCCCCCGAACGTGACTTTCCTGGGTTCCTCATTATGATTACACTGTAATGATATTACACGACGACTATAGTCACAATACTAGAAAGATACTCTAATAATGCTTGTAGAAGTTGAAGAGTTTGCGCCCGGGAAGTCCTAAAGACTCTTGAACTCTTTGGCTCTCCTTGGATTCGCAGCTAGGCTGAGGCGGAACACTGAGAGGTCGAACATGGGTGAATTGAAATTTAAAGTAGGGTAGTATACTAAAAGTGTATGAAGCGGCGCTAAGGGACATTAATCTAACGATTACGGCCTTTACGTTATGTAGGTGTGTCTAGGGATAGCGTGTGGGTTTCCGGTCTTGGGATTTGGGTCCGGCTTTGGGGGTTTAGGGATTCAAGATTGAGCGGGATGCACAGGTTTTCGTGGCAGAACCAAGGCTAGAGCGGCATACGTCGAAGGTCTGGTAAAGAATTGAAGTTCGAGGCGTAGGATTCGATTCCTTAAACCCTCAAACCCCTGAACCCTACACCCCTTAAACCCTTATATAAGCCCCTAAACCTAAACCCTAAACCCCGAACCCTAATCTGCGGCTTTTTGGGTTTAAGGCCCTGTTCGGGACCCGCGGCTCGAAACAGAACTGTGCCCTGTGCCGAGGCACTCCAGATCGAGGTCCAAGCCTGTGTTGGGACGAAGGGCCTAGGTTTACGGCTTTAGGGTCACGGAGTTGCTGCGGGTGCCCTAAATCCTATACCCTAGGCCCCTAACAGACTGTCAGGATGGAGGGATTCCAAGTTTCGGCAGGTTTCACTGTCGGCTTAACATGTTGCACTTCGCCGTAGTTTTGCTTTCGAGGTAAGAGCCACCACCCAAAGCGGTTGAAGACGGACAGGGTTCGTGTCAAGGGTCACACGCAGTTTCAGCCAGCAGAAAAAGATAACCATCTTGAACCCCACAACCAATAAAGCTCCTTCCTGTAAAGACCAGGCTCCCGCAGCCATATTGGCCAACAGCAGTCTCCTGCCAGCTCAACCATCCAGCAGCACAATGTCCTCCAGGCGGGAGTTTTTTGTCCTTTTACCGCGCCCCAGACACTAGGGGGCTCTTTGAAGGGTTTTAGGAAATTACTTACAAGAAATGTATCCCTCCACGCTCTCAATGCTTTTGTATTTGATTAGATAATCCACACTCCCATAGTGATTTAGGTCCCGTCATGAGGCTCGAACCTCAAAGCCCGCATCCGAATCGCAGAGTCGCTCTACCCAACAGAGACTGCATGAAAGGCATGGGGTTTAGGAGGGTTTAGGGTTTGGGGTCTTTGGTAGGGGTCCACGCTACGGGCCCTCTTTGGCAACTTGTGCATGAAGGCTTTGACGTCTCGGATGGGATTGCAGAGTTAGCGGTGAGAAAAGCAGTTGTGATTTCAAGGTCTGGGGTTTAAAGGCTGAGAGGGGAAAGGGATTTCGGATCGTAACCAGCAGCAGCATCTATGTGAGCCCGATACTCCGAATCCTGTTCCCGGGTTCAGCTTCTGGAGCTGCAGTTCAACTCCTTCCGTCCCCGCCCCATGAAACCCTGAAGCTTCGAACCCCATACCCTCATAAATCCTGATGCCGCCAAGACCCTCACCTCGCAACCCTAGACCGCAAAGAACCCTCACCGTCGAACCTTTGAAGCGAACCTCACTGAAACCCTACGCCCTAAGCCCCATGCCACAAACCCAAGAAATCGGTGGAGTGAGGAGCCCTGATTTCCTTCCTCGAAGCCCGAAACAAATCCCTCGAAAGCCGAGAGGGCTTGCCTACAATCCCAAACCCCAACGTCCTAAACCCAACACCCGGAACTCCCACTACTAAACCCCACCCAATTCCGAAAGCCTGGAAACCCTAAAACAGGTTTTGCGCACGCCGCCGCTGCGGCCCCAGATCGTTGCAAATGATGTCTAAGTTCTGGGCTCGAAGTTTAGGCTTCGACATCAAGGCGTTGTGCATCGGTGCTTCTGAGTTGTTTATGATCTCAGGCCGAACGCCCTTCTTGTTTCGGGGTCTCAGTAGGACCCAGTGTGCAGTCCCCGTAAATGGTCCCTGATCAGCCCTCCTTCAAAAGGGTCCTCGATGGGAACATTGGGGAACTCAGACCTCCGCGTCAGGCATCCTCCGATAGGCTTTTGGGCTTGGGGGTTGAGGGCACCAGGCAAAGACTAGCTCCTAAACAAGGTGGAGACTTACAACCTCAACCTGGACCCTAAGGAACCTACTTTCTTTAGGGTTCCTTAATATGATTTCTTTATAAAAGTCTTTAAAATGGTGGGTTGCTTGGAGTTAAGGAAGAGCTTGCTGTGGATTTGGGAGGTCCGCGGCCATTCTTCGATATTATAATCTGAACACCACAGGTCGGTTGCAGTGTCAGGAGCCCTTTGGCATAGTACTATGAAGTCCTAAGGGGCATTTTCATAAAATGGTACTACAATATTAAACATACACCTAATTCCTACCTATTCAGGCCAAAAACAAGGCCGTGCGGCGAAGGATGTCGCAATAGAGGCGAGGGCTCTTCTGAGCAGGGACCCTCAAAGCAAAGTGCTTTACCCAATCAAGGGGTACACGGAAACGAAGGCATGATGTAAGCCCGAAACCTTGAGCCCAAACCCCGACTGAAAACCCTAGAGGCTTGAAACTCCCAAACCCAAACCCTAATTTCTAGACTTGTTTGGCCCAGGCACACTGTCTGTCGCAGTCCTGGTGGCAGTGGGGCTTCTCAAGGCCCGGGGCGTCGGGGAAAAGATGCTATAGAGGCTGGGTGTAGGGTTTAAGGGTTTGGGGAGTGCTTTGAGTGTTTCGATTTCGAGGTCCACTGCCTACGGGTGAAATACGCAGCCGTGGGGTGTTCTCTCTCTCGGTTTCTTTTATTTTAGCTACACTTCTTGATGAAGGCAGGCTCCTGATGACTGAACTTCTCTCTCTTCCTTTGGATCTCCACTATTACCCCTTATTCCGGCACGGATTCAATCACGGTTTAGGGTTTAGGGTTCCTAAACCCTAATCCCTAAACCCTAAACCTTGCCTAGGGTTCTGGGAGCTTTCGGATCCTCAAGCACTCGTAGCCTACCCGACATGTTCGGGGTTCACGTGCAGCCCCTGAGTGCCACTCCGTCTCAGGGGTTAAAATGGGAGTCTCCGAAAAAAGGGGTACCTTATTTTGGGTACCATATCATAAGGATCCTACTATTTAGCGTACTATATTAGGGTCCCCTATTTTCGGAAACTCCCAAACCCTAAACCCTAAACCCTTAATTGAACCCTTATAGATCCCTTCAAGGAGCTTTTATGGTACCCTTTAAAGGAACCCCACTAGGGTCCCCCTGAATAAAGCCGTTCATGTGCATACCTCCCAGCATGGCCCGAAGGCCTTTGACATGCGCTGCAGCGTGTTGATGGAGGCCCGATCTTTCCCTTCAAGTACTATAGGGGCCTTAATCATCACCCATACTATGTTTTTATTGGGGGGTTCCTTACTATAATTAAAATATCGTATACCCCAAAACCTTATTCTAATTATTCAGGCCCCTATCTTAGGAAAACTCCCGGCAACACAGTCCCAAACCCTGGTCTGCTTGTTGGCGAGTGGAGGTTTCTGATGAGTTGCACTCAATTCTCGCCAACACCCTAAAGAGAAAATCTTTTCAGGGTTAGTGCGCCTGAAGAAGTGGGGTCGTAAAATCGACGGTGAGGCACTGTATTGGGAAAACCCGAGATTTAGGACAAGACGAGCCACTAGCAGTGCAGCAGAGCCAGTACCAGCAACCCTAAACCCTAAACCAAGATTTTGGCCCGAAACCCCACTAAGTCTCCCCCAGGAAAACGCACAGCTTAGCCATCGAATCGGCGAGATCCTAATCTCGAATCGCGTAACATCAACATGGGAACAGGGGTTTCAATAAGCGTTAGCAGAAATTGAGACCCCAATATTGGGATAGCTATGTCATGTATCTATGTACCTGTGATAGTCACGTCCCGAATATAGCTTTGAACAGCACTAAACCTTACAACCTAGTCTAACTATGCAGGCCTGTATAGTAGCTGCAAACCGGGCAAGCCCCTGAAACTCTTTGGGGTGCTGAGCGCCCAGTTAGCAGGGATCAAGGCCCCCCCTTCTAGTTTCCGCCTGGATAGTATGCGGGTCAGGGTACAGGGTTTAGGGATCCGAAAACCCTGCGGTTGTAAGGGTCGGAATACTTGTAGCATACCCCAAATCACCATTCTGATGATCATGGCCCATAGTAACTGGATGTCTGCAGTACTGTTTACCCTAAAGCTACACCTGAGATCTGCACGTTTCCGTATCAAGAGTTCGGATTTGACTTGAAAGGTTTGGTTCCGGCCATTGGACTTGCGACACCGGGTTTCCTGAACCCGATTGTGGTTTACATCAGACGTTTTGTTCTTCTTCTTCTTCGGATCATTGTTCCCAGTATCCGTATGATGCTTCTCACAGTTACACTTCCGATTTTGGTTGCTGCTACAATACTTAATCAGTCATATTCACGCCACAGCACATACATCGCTAAACCCAAAAGGGCTAAACGAGCAGCTTGGCATCTTCGGTTTCAGAAAAATCTGCAGAGCAATGCTTTACAAAAGGCGTTTTAATCTGTAGTACTACTTCCATTTGATCCCTCTACAAATCTACCATAATTAATATACAACCACACCCCCCCTCAAAGCTCGCGAGCCTGAAGTGCTAAGCCAGAGCCTGAAGCCTACACTTTAGAAGCCGTAAACCCCACACCCTGAAGCCAAACCCGAAGCCCCACAAACCCCTAGACCTTTAAACCCTACCCACACCCCGTACCCCACAACCCTATGGCATGGGTTCCTGCAAAAAAATCCAAATGGTAGTTTCCGGAAAATAGGGGACCCTAATCTAGCACCCTAAATTATAGGATCTTAGAAAAAGGAGCCGAAAATACGGCACGCCCTAATCTTGACCAGAGACCCAGATCTGCAGGAAGCCGTGGTGCCTGAAGCCAAGCCTCCCACGTTCAAGGCGCCGGTTTAAATGTAGAGCCTACTTAGAGGATCATGGGACTTAGTAAGTAGGTTATAACTGGGGTTATAAGTCCCCTAAGTGGGGTTATCCTAATTATAACCTACTTATAACCTTACTTACTAAGTCCTATGAGCCTTTAAGTACACCATTACCAATACTACGGTTGATGATGCAAATCCTGCATTACCCATAACAAGGAATATACCATAATTTCCATAAGGTATTGCAGGTTTTACATAAATCATCAACCGTATTTTTGGGGGGGCTCCTTACAACAGTATAATGGGCCCCAAAACCCTAGTTTCGCTCTCGATCTTTATGCTGCACGTGCAGAGCGCAAAAAATTCAAACGCCACAAACGAGCTGCCTGCATTTGTTATCGCGTTGAAACCCTGCACATAGGCCTTGGAAGCCAAAGGTACAAGAAGAAGACTAGTTTCACAGCAGAGGGCACATGGTTGCGGATTTTGCGGGTTTCTGAAAAGCTTTTAATAACCCTTGCAACCCTAAATTCGATCCGAAACTGCACTTGAGGTGGGCAGGGGCCTGAACACCGTAAGATCTGCAAAGAAACACAAACACGCACACACACACACACACACACTCAAACAACGTCTTACCTT